CATTTCCTACAAGAACATATGTTGTCATTCTCCAGGCTACTAATAGATATGGCTTATGATAGCTCTGTTCTTAGGAGCGTCCCCCGTCTTCTACAGGGCATATCGGCTTTAGTTTTTCACTCTGCGCTACACATAGATTTAACAGGTAATATTGATTTAAATGGAATGTTTCTTTTTTTACCAATTAAATCAGATGTACTGTATCTTTGGGGAAAGGCATATGAAACACTTACTTTAATACAACTACCAAGTAAACCATTTCTGGATCTTGACTGTTTTCTCTGTCCCTCATAAAGTCCATGAGACCTGTCATAATATATTAGTTTGATCTCTTTAGTTGAACCATAAGTTTGATCTCAGGTTTCTTGCAAGTGAAGCCATTTTTCCTAATGGCAAACTTAATCTAGTAGAGTTAGGCTTAGATTGTGGTGACATTTTACAAGCAAATTGTACAAATACAATATGGTATGGCTGCATATCATACTGCTTTTTTAAAGATGGTGGTTCATTCTACCTTAAACATTTTTATAGTTGTCCATACAGACATTCTTGTGGTATCACTCTTTCCACAAGCTCTGGTCTAGCTTAAAGAAAAAGCAACCCTTCTCCCAATCCAGAATTGTATTATTTTTTCCTTTAGAACAGATTGAAATCCTTTCAAAATTCATCTTTTTTTTAATTCTTTCTAGCCTTGACTCTCTTGTTCTCATGTCTTCAAGAGAACTATTTCAATAACTATCTGATCAGATGTTTGGATGCTGTCGATACTCAGCCTTGGGGTGTTCAAGTTGTGGCCATCTGAAAGAGTTTCCAACTTTGTCTGTCCAAGAGATTAAGAGAAGCAGAATGATCTTCTCTATATGTATTTATAAAAAAAAGACTGCTGCTAAACTTTGACTTACTGTATGTGCTTGATCCAAAACATTTTTCCCCATTATAACAGGGGTGGGGAAACCCCTCTAATTCAAGTACAGGGGAGGGGCCAGGTGGCTGCTGCAGTTACAGCTCCAGTCCTGACCTGGGGTTGGAGTTGGGGGCAGGTAGTGGCTTCAGCTCCTCTTGTCACTTTCCCTTTGCAACACCCCTCACACGCCACCAGCAGTTGTCCTCTATGGCTTGGGCTCTGGCCCTGCTCTGGCTTGGGACGCAGAGCACATGGTTACGCCAGCTCTTGCCCAGCCATGCAGCAGTAATGCCAGTGCAGGAAACTCTAGTCCTGGATGAGCTGCCACTGCAGGTGCTGCTGCATGGCAGGGCCAGGACTGGAACCACCATGTGCTCCATTCTCTGGGCCAGAGCCTGAACCAGAGTCATGGAGGTTAAACAGTGGGAGGCTAGTGGTCAAGAGACAGCAGTAAATGTGGCAGAAGTGGTAGGGAGTAGGTAAAGCAGGGTGGGCACTGAAGGGAGGGTCAGGGGCTGGGGAGGGCTAGGCAAGGAGGAGGCAAGTAGTAGGGGTGCAAGTGGCAGAGGACAAGGGGTAGAGGTCAAGCCACTTGATTCTCTCCCACCACCTCCCCTCCTGGAGCAGTGGTGGGGTGCATGAATTTAAGAGACCCTTCCAATAGTTAGATTCTATACAGGGAAAAATTATAACAAATTTATAAATTTTCCATGTCTAGACTAATTATTGTGGGGGGTGGTCAACTTAAATTTGAAGTTGTCTTGGATTTAGGTAAATGTGGTATCTCTTACAGAATTCCCTAGTGGAAGTGTCCTCAGACTTTTCTGTCCTTATTTAACACTGTGGAATTGATTATTTTGGTTCCTATTGCTTCCCCCATAATATACCTTATTATTTTAGTAAACATAAGGCATCTTGTTTTTCAAGATGTTACCTTGTTTTTTTTCTCACTACCTATTGCAGTCTGTTTTCTGTTTGCATCTGGATTCCTTAGATTTAAGGTATTTTTAAGTTTTCATTTTCTGTTCTCTCTAATTGTCTGTTTGGAGACTATTTTTGCTTCTTGCTTGAAAGGAACCTGACTTTTTTTTAGCACTGAAACAGCTAAAACATCTCTGAAAATACTATATAAAGCTCCTTATGAGATCCAATATTTGAACTTTAAGTTGAAATTTATTTACCACAAGGCCTGTAGAACAGTGCATGAATCCAAGCTGCTTTTCTCTTTGTCTGAACAGCATGTAATAACTCGTTACATCTAATAAAAGGTTGAAAAAATTGTCACTTATTTAAATTTAACTTTTTTAAAAAGAAATACCAAATTTAAATTGTCTTATCTATCCTTTGTTTTGTACCAGAAAATTTTCTATAGCATATTCAAGTTATTTGGCTAAGTATATACAAATCTATTTACAAATGAACTGTGTAGAAGAAGGGCATGTGCAAATGGAAAAGCCCTTTTCTTTTACAAGTTCTCAAACTTTTTTATCTTTTTCTTTACTGGCTTTGACCTCCAGATAACTCTGGAGAACTATCTGCTTTCAGTAGCTTTCAGATCAGTTGGGATATTTCTGTTTTATAAAAATGTGACCCTCTGCTGTTTGGCCAACTTTTCAGTAATTTTGGGAATCCACATAAAGTTACCAGTGATGGGTTATTTTTTTCCTGTAATAGCCAAGTAATGAATTTAAGTAGTGTGAATTTCTCACTATTAATGCAGGTGTAATTATGATTCTCAACTTTACAAAAGTAACTTATTTAGCTTGAGTTATTTAATGACTATATTGGGACACTTCAGTTCCTTTTGCATCAGTCTTAATATCAGTTGCAACACCACACAAAACAAAAATCCATTTAATCAGGAGGGGGTTTTTTTTCCTTGTTTGCTTCTGTGTAGCTACCAGTGAGACCTCCAGTTGTGTGTCTAAAGTTAAACCATCTCATGAAGAAAGCCCCCATGATGATGCAAAACATGCTAGTGCAACCCTTCCTACGAAGAAATGAAGCACGGCAGACAAAACTTCTTCCTTTTAAAAATCTCCTTCAGTGTACATTCAGTGATAGAAAAGCTCATTTAATTGTGACCTAGCTTTCAAAAGCCATTCATGTTACTATCTGTGTCAGTGCACTTGCCTGTATGTAAATTAAAGACTCGTAACTAGTGCACACTTTGTATATATTCAAGTAAAAAGTCTCTTCTCATTTTCTAAAATATTTGTGGCAAAGAGATTTGCTCAGCAGTTGAGTGAATTGCACACCTTTTTTTAAGCTGCCTTTTCAGTGTCTTAGTTTACTGTATATGTGTATAAAAGTATAAACAGACAAGAAGTCTCATCCCAATGGTATGTATTATAGTGGCTCTGTTAGAGTCACTATAATGAAGAGTTGTCTATCATTCTGAACTCCTATTTTAAGGGGTTATAATCTAGCTGTGAACTTTTTTGTCTTGGGCTGAAATTTGACATACATGATCTTGGCTAGGAGCAATTTTTATTTAAATACAATTCCAAAGAAATCACTTTGCCTGTTTGAGGTAAAACAGGTGCTTTTGGCATTTGAATGATTTTGTATCATATATGCTGAAATAACTAGGAACAATGGGGTGAATGAAGTTGTCGTCTTTTCAGTTTGAATCTCCTTGCTGTGTTCTGTGTTTTACATCAGACCTGTAACATTCAAATATACCTTTTTCTTTTGTGGTTTAGTATGTGCTTATATACGAGTAGATATCTGTATATCCTCCGACAGAAAAAAATCATTTTATATATTTTCTTATCCTAAGAATTTTTGTTTACTAAAAAAGATGGCTTTATTTGCCTTATCATAGGTTTGTAAAAAGTTACTAACAAACTGCTGACTTAAAAAAGAAAGACAGAAAAAGCAGTTTTCTTTAAAAGGAAGTATGATTACATCTGGCCTGATTATTTACGGTTTCTAGGATAACTTATTACCCCATCATTATGCAGTGGTTCTACTACCACTGTTTCAGACTAAGGAGAGAAACTGCAATACTCCTGGAACTAAAAGTTTAACTTTAGAAAGATAATCTGAATACACTGGTTTTAGCATGTTCTGTTTGGTTCATATCACTTTCACTCCGTCAGCTTTTGTCAGCAGGACTCAAACTGTGGACTCGGGTTCTATGAAGTAATCATCCAGGCTCAGCCAGTTTTCATTTCGTCTGTGGCATGAAGAATTTTTAAACATTCATAAATGTCCCAAATTAATGTATCATTTTGCCCATATGTTCAGACGGCTGAATGGTTAATAATGGCTTTATAAACTGCATTAAAATTGATATTTTTCTAATTTAAATGGCAAGACATATTGTTTCAAAGAAATGTTTTTAAGGAAAAGAAAGCTCTTAACACTTACCAGCAATTTTGAATACCTTGTGATCTTACGACAAAGTCTGTGCAGATTTAAGTGGGTCACAAGTGAAATGACTTCTAAAAAATGGTTCTATTAAGTGCAGAGTAAATGATACCAAAAACCTGAAGTGTTCAGTTGTATGCTCAAACCAGTTAATTTCTTGTATCATAAACATGTAATGTGGACCCTATTTCTTGCACATAACTGAATGTACATGTTAATGTTTACTGTTTCTTTTTTTAATTCTGTTAAAATGTAAGTGTGCATATCATTCCAGTCAACCAAAGCTCTGGTATTAAAAAAAAAACAAAACTTGATGCGCTCCTAAATAAAAACAAGGTCAGTGGTAATTTTATGGAGTCTTTGGCTCTCTCTTCTAGGAATTTGATAGTATTTGACTGTCAGTAGCTTTACATCATTCTTTTCTAATCCTATGTAAAAGCACTATACCAGTTAAACCAATAATGCATCTCTAAAAATAGAGTTGTGCAGTCCAAAGCAAGGCTTTTCAATGAGGATAAGAAAACAGGCAGTACCTCTTTTTACTCCCTCCTCCAAACACACGTGTTTCTATAGTTCATTCCATGCGCACAGGCAGCTGCATCAATGTAGAGCCCTGTTGATTTCTGTGAGCATAGCCTTTGTGCCTATATGTGGGTTGGGGGAAGAAGCCAGATGCCCCAGCCATAGGCTTTGCTTCAAACCATGACTCTTTAGTTTACCTGTTGCCTAAAGAAAGAGCTGTACCAAAACCAGGTGGCTTCAACCTGGCCACAATCCAAGCCCAGTGATGACATTGGCTTTCAATACTGGCTGGAGAAGCAGAGGAGCAGGCTGAGGCCTAGAGCCTTTGGGCAAGAATACAGAATCTTGTGAGTAAGGCAGGTCTGATGCCACTGTGCATGCATTTCTGTTCCCTTGCCTATGTATATATGTGCATAAATTATTGAATGGCTGAACCTCTGTAATTCCCCCTTATTGTCCATAGCAGTGTTATAGAACTTGGACTGTCCCATCCTTTTCCTGAGTTTCAAAACCTATTTTATAAGGAAATATTCTTCACTTGATCAGTTCAGTTCTTAATATTAACTATTCAGTTGCATATTCCTTAGAAGAAAAGGCTGGAGAAGAGGACATCTATTGTCTATACCAGGGGTTCTTAATTCCTGGGATGCAAATCAACTACCAGTCCGGCTGCCAGACCGGAAGTGGCCGTGGACCAGCAAACCACGGCCCCCCACAGCTGGGCGGAGAGGCCGCGGCTCCTTCTGCAGTGCCCGGCGTGGAGCCGGGGGTATCGTTACCTGTCTGCTAGTCAGAAATTCTGGCTGTGGTTGGCTGTGATTGCTGGGCCGAGGTTTGCCAGGCTGTGGCATAAAAACTTTGGGAACCCCTGGTCTATACTGTAGAACAGGGTGAGGTGCTTTTGTCAGCCATTAAAAATAGAGGACCTTCGCACACTACCCTCCCTGCAATGACTTTTGATGTCTCTAGTTGACAGGCTCAGCAGATGTCTCTTTTGCCCAGGAAAGAGGGCTTCCCTGACAAAAAGCTCCGTTTTCCTGCAGCTGCTCTTCCACTAGTAGCCCTGGCACAGGCTCCATCAGCACTAGCCCTGAAGTGGACATCCCTTCAGCAGACCACATCAAATACTGACTAACACACATGCATCAAATGTAAGAGCACCTCAAAACAACAATACACTGCTCATGTAAAGAAGAGTCCAACTGTCAGAACAAGTCCTCAAAATCTCAAGTTCAAGATTGCAAGGTGCCAACAGCAAAAAAGTCCAAAATGTTATGGTACAAGTACCAAGAATATCTTGGTACCAATCTGGATGCTAAAGCATGTGCATTTCCCAAGATTTTGTGTATCTGCCTTCTCTCTTCCTTTTATGACTACTATTAACAATATCATTGGATTTGCATCAATGACGCCGGCATTTCCAGAGAAATGATTCTACAGTTCCTGGGCTGCTGCTAATCCCCTGCTTTCTTGCAGTAAGCCATCATTAAAGAGAAAGGAAGGGTACCTCCAAAGGGTGTCTTAGAAGTATCCAGTTATGGCATCTGATGCAGGACTGGCCATGAAGGGGTCACAGGCAATCTTGTGATGGCATATTACTGATGCTGACTAATTTGCTGGAGGGCCACCATTTTGCAGGTTTCAAAATGAAACCTTATGATTCACCACAAAGAGGAGATCTAAACTGACATTGATAGGAAGATTCCCTTTCTGAGAGCTGGAGGAATCTCAATGCAAAGTGTCAGAACAAGCACAGGAGATGCTCCAGCTTCCCTCCTTGCCTAAGTGCAAGACAGTTTTTTTTCTTTCAAGACAAGGATTTATAGCAAAGATTCTGGGCTGCTTGTTCCAGCTCAAACTCTCATTCACTTAAGTCAGTGCAGTCCAATGCAGTTGCTTTCTATTTTCTATCAGGCAAGAGTATAGACATTTGTGAATGGCCAGATGCATGCCTACCCACTGGTCTCAGATATACTCTGACATGGGCCCACAACATCACTTTTCTAAAATTTAGCAAACCCCTCTTTGACTCCCTCGGAATTCTTCATCTCCTGCCTTGCCTTTTTAAAACTGACTGATGCCAACTGCTTCAGCCAAAAGTTAATGAGCTTCAGCACTCTCAGAGGAAGCCCATACATCTAATTCAACAAGAGCAAAGTGGTTCTGACACCAAAGTGGAGCCTGTTTCTCTTATGCCAGTTAATACTTTACCTTTTTTCTCCCTGAAAACCACATTTTGCACAGTAATATCCATTATATGTATTGTATGTCCTACCATTTTGTTCTGACAGGATTAAATCTACAAATTTAGTCTGGTGGCTGGCTGTTTAAAGACTAATCTATTTCATCCCAGAGTTTCTTAGAGTGGATAATTTAGAGCATCATACTGCATTACAGTTTGACTAATGCGCTTGCTCCATGGACTATCAAGGTTTGTTTCTGTAGGTCCCAAGCAAAATCTTCAGTCTGTTTTTCAAATGTGCTAGTATCCAAAATCTGCAAGAAAGTAGGTCTGTGCGAAGCAGCAAGTATTCGCTTCAGATTCAGATTTGGTTGATTCAGAGGGACGGTGATTTGATTCTGTGATTCGAATCACTCCTGATTTGATTTGGCCGATTTGGATTCGGAGTTTTGGTGCCAATTTGGCCATAGACTATAATGGGGAATCACTAAAATACCAATAAGTTTTGTCATTTTTTTGCAGGTTTGGATAAAAACATCAGGGATGGTAGCCCCTTCTGAGGATATGCAGCCTGCCAAGTTTCAAGGAGATAGGTGCAGGGGTTTCTGTGAAAGTGCACTTCAAACTGTTGAAAGCCAAACTCATATCACTTGTGTGTGTTAAGGCAGGGAGGGATGAGTGCAGCAGGGATGGTAGCCCCCTGTGCGGGCATGAAGCCTGACAGGTTTCAGGCAGACTGGTGCAGGGGTTTCTGTGAAAGTGCACCTCAAGTTTCTGAAAGCAAAAAGCAGTAGGTGCCAAGTGAGGAGGGTGGCACTCACGCTGCCTGCACATGGAGCTTGAGAAACCCCAGCAATGTGAGGTTCACCTTGCTGCTCCATGAAACCAGGATCCAAGGAGGTGCGGTGGGCTGTCACAGCATCACCAGCAATGCTGAACACCCTCTTGCATGGAACACTGGTTGGTGGACACCTGTTCCCAGGCAACCAGGGCCAACACCTGGCTGTGGGTTGACCAATAGGCCAAGAGGTCGCAGTGCAGTGGCTCCACCACCTCAGCAAGATAGGTAGCCACTGAGGCCTCTGTGCTACCTGTCTGATGGTGGGGTCTGGTGCCTCTGGACACCAACATTGAAGTCATGCCCTCGGCCCACGTTGGCAGTGGCTGTGGTGGAGGAGATTGTCTCATAATTGGAGTGCTGGCATGGGAAAGTGAATACCCCTCTTCTACTTCTCCCTGCCTCTGCCCTTCTGCTTCCCTGACTCTGTTCACCAGCACCTCCATCTAGTGATCGAGGGTTTTGCTGCTACAGATGCTCCCCTTCACCCTCGGGTCACACATGCCCGCCAGCATGTGGACCATGTTGGACTGCAATGGATCCAGCCATTTTTTGATGCCCTCCTTCAGCTGCTTCACCAGTGCCTGCACCTCTGGTGAAAGCGGCTTGCCCCAGCCAGGAACATCAATTCCCTGGAACTCCTCCATTTCATTCTTGAGCCTCTTCACTGTGGGGATCACCTGGCTAAGGATGGCATCGCCAGCGCTGAGCCTCTTGGCCTCGAGGAACGGCTTGAGGACCACCAAGCTCTGAGAGATGGTATTTCACTCCATTTTGTTAAGTGGGCCACTGATCCCAATCTCCCTGACCAAGGCCATCACCTGGATGGCCTTCTATTGCTTGACCAGCCTTTCCAGCATGATTTTGTGCTGCGGGATGCTCAGCTCTGCATGTGTATCCTGCAGCACACTTGATGCTCCAGTAGTAGTAGCCCTTCCTGCATTTCAAAATGAACTGGCTGGTAGTCATGGCACCATCACCAGGAGCCCTGTCCCCTTCCAAGGCGTCCCTGACTACAAGGCGGAACTTGTGTGCCACACAGCAGATGCCAAAAAAGTTGGCATCACAAACTGCCTTGACCATATTGGCCCTGTTATCGGTGACCTTGAACCTGTGGGTGAGCTTGCCCTGCCCAGCAAGCCACTCCTTTACCATGCGGTTCATAGCCACCATGATCTCCCTTGCTGTGTGGGACCCATCCATCACCTCTGAAGGATAGCCCACCAACGCCCTGACTGGTCACACCAGTTTCCTGTGAGGGGGAGGTAGGCAATGATCTCCACCCTGGCTGCTCCAGATGTCCAAGGGGAAGTGCAAGGCTACCTGTGGACCTGCCTTCTGAAGCTTCTCCCTCAAGTACTCCCTGCGTGCCTCATAGAGGGAGGGTACCACTGTCCTGCTAAAGGTGGTGCGTGTGGGCACTTGGTAGGATGGGACCACGAGCGCCATAAGCCACCTGAACCCTGGACACTCAACAAAGGAGAAGAGCTGGCCGTCCAGAGCAAGTATCTCACCAATGCTCTGGGTATCCTTGTTCGCGTTCAGAACACGCCCCGCTTTGTCTCTGCCTTTTCTCCCACTGGTCCAGGGTGGCCTGCCTCTGCTTCTTGGGGACAGGGTCTTCGGAGCGAAAGGGGGACTTATTTTTGGGCATGCTTCCGCTGCTACAAGGCTGAGGAACAAGGGCCAAGGGGGTGCTGCCTCCTGAGATGCAGCAACATCACCATGGTGGCAAAGTGTTTCATGTCCTTGCCCCAGCTGATTTGCC